TAATCAAAAGAGAGCTCATGTCACTTCCTGAAAGTCATCAACCTGAAATATTAGCTACATTCCTGTCTGCCCTGCTCTCTGACCTGTTCAAGTTTTCCGGCATTTTCAATTTAGATTTCCAACATCTGCATTGTTTTGCTTTTCACACTGTTTAGTTTCAAATGAGTGTTTGCTCGTGATCTCAAGTGCAACTTAGGGAGCCCATGGAGGTAAAGAATAACTTGACAATAACAGCTACTAAGGTTTACCTACAAAGTTGTGATGGAAGCAGTAGTGCAAATTGTTTGACTGAAGTACCTATGTTTATTCAATGAACAAGAGAACTGCATTTGGCATCTTTAGTACTGTGTGAAAGAGTAACAATTGTGTCTTGTATTGAGCACCTTTGACCTAGTTAAATCCCAAGATGCTACACAGCCGTGTAATTGATCACAATTTAACACAAAGGCGAATAAGAAGAAAATAAGAGAGATGATCATAAAGTTTTCCATAAGATATGGATTTTAAGGAATGTCTTAAAGGAGAAGAGAAAGATGGAGACAGAGACACCCCCTCTCCTTTCCTTCTACTGTTTTTTCTCTGTTCACAGGATGAAGGCATTGTTGGCTAGGCCAGCATTTATTGTCCATCCTTAATTGCCCAGAGGGCAGTTAAGAATTAACCACATTGCTGTGGGTGTGGAGTCACATGTAGGCCAAACCAGGTAAGGATGGCAGATTGCCTTCTCTAAAGGACATAAATGAATCAGGTGGAGTTTTCCAACAATTAACAATGTATTCATAGTCATCACTTGACTCTTTATTCCAGATTCCTATTTATTGAATTCAAATTTCATCACTTGCTGTGGCATGATTCATACCTGGGTCCCCGAACATTCCTGGATTAACAATTCAGCAATAATACTACTAGGCCATCACCTCCCCTAAACACCATTATTCCATGAGCTTCTATATTCCTACATCTCAAAGTGATGTTAAGGACAGCTTCTCTCTCTTCAACATCCTAAAGAAACAATTCTTTCCATCAACAGCTTGACCCACTCTTCAATCTCCCTTATAACCTCTCCCTTACCATCTCTTCTTTCAATGCACATGTAGTTGATGCAACCTCTGTGCTTTTACTCCTCCCGTTCACTATCTAAGGCCTCAAACAATCCGCCAGGTGCAAGAGAATTAGCAGCTGTTCACTCCCCCAGACTGACCTTTACCCACTCCTTTGCCTGTCCAACTGTTTTTCTCTCTCTTTGGGCTCTATCTCCACTATCATTTACTCTCCCTGCTCACCCTGCCCCATCTTCTGTAAAAAAAAAATCCTTTTCCTAGCTGCCATCACAAAGGGTCATTGGACCCGAAACGTTAACTCTGATTTCTTTCCAGAGATGCTGCCAGACCTGCTGAGATTTTCCAGCAAATTCTATTTCTGTTTCAGATTTCCAGCGTTCATTTTTTTGAAAAGAGATTTATTTTAGTTTAGTATTACAGTGTGGTGAGACTAAATACAGATTATATGGCCAGTTTGTGGAACAGTTCTTTTCAATCCTCAAGTGGAATCCTGTGATCCTGAGCTTCTAGTCAGCTGTCATTCCAATTTTCCACCATCTGACACGTCTATTCCTCAGACTTCTGCAGTGTTCCAGTGAAGCTAAAATAGAAGCTTGAGGAAAAGTAGCTGATTATTTGATTAGGCATTTTGTAGTGTTCAGGATTGAAAATTATGTTCAATAATTTCAGATCACAATCTCAGCCCTATTTTGATAAAAAAACTGAAAGAACTGAGAAAGCACCTGGTGAGGGGCTATTGGACTCAAAACATTAACTCTGATTTCTCTCCACAGATGCTGCCAGACCTGCTGAGCTTATCCAGCAATTTCTGTTTTTGTGTCTATTTTGGTACCTTTTTCTTGATTTTGTAGCATTACCGTATGTTTTAGTCACTTGTCATTCTGCCATCTACCTGCTCGAGACACATGGTTTGGTTCTCGCCCCATGATTATTTACTTTTGCTTGCACCACCAACACTATTGTCATTTAAAGAAGAAATGGTTCAGGTACTATCAAGGGAAGGGTAGACCACAAATCCAGAGCTCTCTGGACGGAAAAGAAAGAGGTAGAAATTATAAGCCAGAATAAAAAAATGTGCTGTAACAGATATACAATTGAGAACCAGAATGAATATAGAAGACTCAAATAGGTAGTGAGAAAGCAAACAAGAGACTGGCAGCTAACATAGGGAATCCTCTCGAAGTTTATAAACAGTAAAAAAGCAGGAAAGCATGGAATGAAACTGATTAGGGTTTTTAGATGTTGAAACAGATGGCAGGGCTGCAGTATTAAACAAGGACTTTGAATCTGTCTTTACCACAGAAAATGATGTTACAAAGGCAACAATGAAAGAGAAAGAAATTTAAACACTGGAAGATTGATAAGGAGGAAGAATTGGATAAAGTTAACAAGCTATTGGAACTGGGATCCAAATTTACTAAGAGAAGTGACAATGGAAATTGGAGATACACTGCAATAACCTTTCAGTCTTACTTCAATTCAGGGATGGTGCCGGGGACTGGGGAATTGCATATGTTATCCCTTCTTTCATTGAAGGGTGTAAGGATAATCCAAGCAATGAAAGATCAGTCAGTTTAACTTCAGTGGTTGGGAAACTGCAAGAAACAATTTAGGTCAAATAATTAGACTCATGGATAAATACTGTATGGGTTGATGAGGAGGGGCATCATTGATGTAAATCTGTTTTTAGATTGCTGGAGCTTTTTGAAGGGCTAACAAAAAATTGGTTAATGAAATTTTATAGATGCGGTACATGCTGATTTCCAGAAATCATTTGATACAGTGCCAGACAGCAGATTTGTGAGCAAAGGTCAAGCTCATAAAATAAAGAGGAATAGCAGCAACATGGATACAAAATTGGCTGAGTGCTAGGAAACAGAGTAATGCTTAATAGATGTGTTTCAGGCTGGGGGAAGGTTTTTCTGTGAAATTCATCAAAGGTCAGTCTTGGAATGCTTGCCTTTACTGCTTAATTACCTAGATATTGTTGAATTTTTGAACTTGCAGATGATATCAACTTGGAAGCATTGTAAACAGTAGGGGATTAGAAGAACATAGACAAGTTGGTGGAGAGACAGATGGGTGGCTTGTGCTTGAGATGTAGGTGACTGGTGTCCAACACGAAGGTCTCTTGGAGCAAGGGACAGATGGTGGAATTTGAATTCAATAAAAAATGTCTGAAATTAGGAGTCTAATGATGACCACGAGTCAATTGTCGATTGTTGGAAAAACCCATCTGGTTCACTAATGTCCTTTAGGGAAGGAAACTGCCATCCTCACCTGGTCTGACCTACATGTGATTCCAGACCCACAGCAATGTGGTTGACTCTTAACTGCCCTCTGGGCAATTAGGGATGGGCAATAAATGCTGCCTGCACTTCATCCTGTGAATGAAAAAAAAGAAAGTAGAACTGACAAAGAACCTGCTGCAGTTTCCATGACAAGTTTTCCTGATGGCTAGTTTGTACAGTGAGTTTGGTAAGATCACAACCTGTGGCACGTTGGACTGTTATGAAAACCTCTAACAAGCAATAAAGAGCAAATATTGGGGACTCGCCGCACCAGGGTGAGGATCTTGCCACGTCTTTTGAGCAAAGCAAGGATGTTGCAATGAGATGACCTCAATGTCAAGTTTACCATCTCACTGAATGTTACCACTCACCTCATCACTCAGGGCTCGGTAAAATGCCACCCACATTCTTTAAATTGTGCTGGTCTCTTAATGGTGCATGTACACATTATTGCTGGCTGTTCATTCAAGTGATGTGCTTCCCCTGGGGAGTGTCATTCCTATGTCACTTGGTGTTGCCACGATACCTGTTAGTGTTCCATTTCTGTTGTTGGGTTGCTGTGGACCTCTAAGACTGATATTTGATCTGTGGTCTGAACAATGATGAGTTCACCTGTTCCTGATCGGCTGCCTGGCAGTTGAGGAGCAGCTCTTCCAGTTCTGAGCACGTGCCTGCAGTTGCAATGAGTTATCTAGGTTTTCGGATCTATCATGTACAATTAAGGCAATAACTGCTTACATAGGTCTGAAGTTGCCACTTAGGCTAACTTTTGTTGAGAGTGATGAAGCTTTCAATTCTCACTGATTCTCCAATGCTCAACTTTTGCAATGGTTTAGCAGTCTTGTCAAAATTAAATTTGACTTTCTGCCATTTCAACTTGATTTTGCCGTTTATACCTGTTCCTACTTCTAGTTTCAATAACTTATTGCTTTTGGAAGAATTGTTTGGGTACTGCATATATTAGTCCTTTTTACTAGACTTCTTTCAATGCCTTCAGTAATTGTGTTTCTCCACTTGAGGATTGCCATGTGCTGGATTTCCTCGATTCTTTTATGATTCCTTTGATAATTTTCACTGCCAACTCAGCCTTCCCATTTGACTGGGGATAGTGTGGAGGTGGTATCGGGTATTGAATTTCCCAATTATTTTGTTTAGGAATGGCGTAGCAGCTGAAGTGTGCTTCAAGTGTCTCTCGAACAGTATTCAAAAGGGAATTAAATAGTTCTTCAAAAAGGGAGGAATGTGCAAAGTTAAGTGGAGAGGGCAGGAGAATGGCACTAACTGAAATGCCCCTCTGGAGCAGCACATATATGATGAGCTAGATGGCCTCATTTCTCACTGTAAAAATCCTGTGATTTTGTGTGTGAGCAGCAATTCAATAGTTTGATTGATTGTTTTGTTCCAGAGCTCCACGCCTGTTCCGGCTCCCAATTGTTGGTTGCATCAGTTAGAAGAAAGCCTGTGATTTTGGAATGAGTACTTCTACTTATAGCAGGGGTAGTTAAGTTAAAGCTGTACAAGTGTGTATAAAACTACAACCAATTATTCAAGATCTATATTTAGGAAATGAAATGAAGGAAGATTCTGCTCATTTGAAAGCCACATACTTCTTTTTGTCCACTGAATCAAAATCCAATTTGTGTTGCAGAATTCCAGGAGATCAACAAGAAATTCAACATGGCCGAAACATCCCCCTTTTGATGACTTTGAATATTCTTCACAATTTGATAGCCAGCTGGAGTTTTTCCCACTTTGGCGCTTTCCTGCAAAGCTAGCTGGGGGATTGTCCATTGTTGTTTTCATATATACTTTACTGAGAGATATCATTCACCCCTATTTAACTGAAAGCAAAAATGTATCCTACAAAATTCCCATTTTGGTCATGAACAAAGTGCTTCCAGTAGTTGCCATTATACTTTTGGCTTCAGTGTATTTACCAGGAATTTTGGCAGCCATTTTTCAGCTCTATTTTGGTACCAAATACCGACGTTTTCCTCAGTGGCTGGCTTGTTGGATGTTGGTAAGGAAACAACTGGGACTCCTCAGCTTCTTCTATGCTGTGCTGCACGCATTCTTCAGCCTTTGCTATCCTATGAGAAGATCATACAGATACAAATTACTCAACTGGGCATATCAACAGGTAAGAATAAGAAAAACTGTTAGCATAATTATTTTTAACATACGCTGTTTCCTTGTGAATTCTCTTGATTATAAATGTAAAGTCATTCCTGGGAAGTAGAATACATTCCTGTTTTTGGTGGCCATTAGTATCAAAAATGAATACAATACGACCTCAGTTACAGAAGTTAATGCCCCAACATAATTTTCTTTATCCTTCAGGTTCACATGAATGAATTTATACCTGCATCTGAGCATTTGTTTTGCATTATATACTCACACCTATTATAGAAGTAACATCTGTTCAATCATTTCACACAGCTATAGACTTTAAATGATTCAAGATGGAGTAAATTTCAACCCAAATGCCAGAAGTGAAAGAATAATATTTGGTCTTTCAGGGTTACCACATTCTTTGAAAATAATTTGTCTCAATTCTCTAGTAATTAATCACTTCAATCATCAATAGGCTCAATAATTTCTGCTTCAAACTTTTGTAGCTAAGTTAATATCAAAAAATATTATTACAGAATCCTAACTGTTGCTTATTGTATTATTACTCATATAATTGCTATAATTATTAAGCGATGGGTCTAGTCCTAGACTAAAAGTCAATTTGTCTACTTTATAGCATTGATTAACCACATCTAGATTATATGTTGCTTTGAATGATTGGTTCTCCAATTTTATGGATCCACCATACAGGAGTTTAGCTGTTTTTCCTTTGCTTGCTCCTATTTGTCATGCATACAACTACCCATTGATTGCTTCATCTTCAGTGACACAATCTCAATTTCATGCTAGTCGCATCAAACTGTACAATGTCTGTCACCACCGTAATCAAGAGCTTTCATTGATCTGATCAAGTCTTGGAAATTTCTGCAGTTTAGTGTTGACAAAACTGGAGCCGTCATATTTAACTGTTGCTAACAAAGTTTTCTCTGAATGCATCAATATCTGTAGCGAACCGGATAGTGCAGAAATTGTTTTTGATCTGGAGCTGAATTTATTCTGTGTTTATGATTTGTGACTAAGTCTTATTCCTCTTCTTTGTTGCTGGAATATTCTTCTCTTTGATTTCCAGTATGACTGAAACCTCTTGGTATCCTTCTGTCAAATTTCACGAACTTCATCAAGTCTCAAATTATTTTTCACAGTACCTGCAAAATATTCCACAGACTTGCCACTTTGACCTGTATGCTTCTGTGATTGTCTTCAATGTCAGTTGACTCCTGGATTACCTTCATTTTAGATCCATTCATAACTTTGTTAGGTGTATTGGGAAATGTATGTTCCGTTTCACTGATAATTTTTATTACTGCTTCCTTCTCTTCTTTCCTGGGAAGTTATTCAATCCAGTCGATCTGCATTCTGCATACTCTTCCCAAAGCCATCTTGTTTTGCTCCCTGGTTATGTGCTTTCAGCCAAAATAAGTCTTCAGTTACTCTCTCAGTCTTTCTTCTAAACAAATTCCTTTTAACTTGACACTTAGCCATCATCTTCCTTTCTTGTGTAAAGCACTTTAAAGTCTTGCTTTATGTTAGAAGTAATATATAAATGTTTGTTGATATTATCCACTTGGTATAGAATTTCTATCTATTGTGAATTATTTGGGCGTATTATGCTAAAGGACAGTTATAAGACCAGAGTTCAGTTTCATTCTTGACCAATGTTCACCAACCCCATCGAAACTAACTATGGGAGTCAATCCATCAGTCATCTGTCTAAGGCACCTGCTGGCAAGCAAGCCAAGCCATAGAAAAATTGTTTGTTTGATTGATTTATTGTCACATGTACTGAAATAAAAGCTTTGTTTACGAGTGCTACAGGCAGATCATAGTAAGCAAAAGGCATACAGATCAAAAAGACTTAGACAGAGACATACAAGTTACACTGCACAGAGCGTGCACTAGGTGAGATCAATGTTAGCAAGATCAGCATTATTTGAGACTAAAGAGCCTATTAATCAGTCTGATAACAGTCAGGAAGAAGCTGTTCCTGAACCTGTTCATGCGTGTGTTCAGCTTCTGTATCTTCTGCATGACAGAAGAGGTTGTATGAGATCGTTACCAGGGTGCAATGGGTCCTTGGTGATGTTGGCCACCTTTCCATGACGGTTAGCCGTGTAAGTAGAGTCCATGGATGGAAGGTTGGCTTCCGTGATGGCCTGGGCTGTGCGCATCACCTTCTGTAGTTTCTTACGGTCCTGGGCAGAGCAGTTGTCATACCAGGCTGTTATGCACCCAGACAGTATGTTTTCAATGGTACACCTGTAGAAGTTGGTGAGGGCCCTTATGGATATGGCAAATTTCCTGAGCTGCCTGAGGAAGAAGAGGCGTTGTTGTGCTTTCTTGACAATGCAATCTACATGGGAAGTCCAGGACAGGTCATCAGTTATCATCACTCCGAGGAACTTGATGCTCTTCACCCTCTCAATCTCAGTTTCGTTGACATAGTGTGTGTTGTCCTCCTTTCTTTCTGAAGTCAATGATCAGTTCTGTAGTTTTGCTGACATTGAGGGACAGGTTGTTTTCATTGCACCATGTTACCAAGCCCTGTATCTCCTTTCTGTAGTTTGACTCATCGTTGTTAGATATCCGTCCCACAACAGTGGTGCTGTCACCGAATTTGTAGATGGCATTGATTCATAATTTGGCAACACAGTTGTAGGTGAACAGGGAGTACAGTAGGGGGCTGAGGACGCATCCTTGGGGGGCTCCAGTGTTGAGTATTATTGTGGAGGAGGTACAGTTACCTATCCTCACTGATCGCAGCCTGTGGGTCTGAAAGCTGCGGATCCAGTTGCAGAGGGCAGAGCTGAGACCAAGGTTACGGAGTTTTGAGATCAGTCTGGAGGGGATAATGGTGTTGAAGGCAGAGCTGTAGTCAATGAGCAGGAGTCTGACTTAGGTGAGTTTGATGTCCAAGGGATCATTGCAGGGCCAGAGATGTGGCATTCTTTGTGGACCTGTTACATCGGTAAGCAAACTGTAGGGGATCGAGGCAGGCTGGGAGACCGGAGTTAATGTGGGCCATGACCAGCCTCTCGAAGTACTTCATGATTGTTGAGATCAAAGCCACTCAACAGTAATCATTAAGGCATTGTAGGCCAGATAGCCTTTCCTTCCAAATAAAGATTATTATATAAAATAGGGAAGACAATGGCCTAGTGGTAATATCACTGGGCTGTTACTCCAGAGACCCAGGTAATGTTCTGAGGATCCAGGTTTGAATCCTGTTATGGCAGATGGTGAAATTTGAATTCAATAAAAATCTGGATTTAAAGGTCTAATGATGACCACAAATCCATTGCAGATTGCCAGAAAAACCCATCTGCTTCACTGATGTCCTTTAGGGAAGGAAACTGTTACCCTTACCTGGTCTGGCCTACATGTGACTCCAGAACCACAGAAATGTGGTTGACCCTTAAATATCCTCTGGGATGGGCATTAAATACTGACCCAGCCAGCAATGGCGTCATCTTGTGAATGAACAGAAAGAAATAAAAGAAAAACATTTGACTTTAAATCTCTTTTCATGACCTTAGCTTGTATCAAAGAACTTCATAATCCATGTTCTTTTTTAAACAATTGTTGTAATGTAAGGAAACATGGCAGCTAATTTGAACACAGCAAAACTTCACAAACAGCAATGGGATAACTGATCATGTTATTTTCATAATGTTGGGTGAGGGATAAACATTGACCAGACTATAATTGTCAAATAGTGCCATGGAAACTTTTATGTCCTCCTGAGTAGACTGATTGACATTTGATTTAATGTTTCATTCCAAAGTCAGCACCCTGGTAGTGTTGTGCCCCTCATTATCCATGTCTAAGTATCAAGTAAGATTATGTGCTCAAGTCATGGAGTAAGGCTTAAACCCATGACTGTCTGATCTGGGTAAAATAGACCTGTTTTAGTAGTAGCAGTTTAAATTCCCATTGAGTCTCAATTTAGGACTTAGTTTGGGTTTATTAATGTGGCTTGCAGGAGAACTTTCAACCAGTGATGTTCCCATGTATCTGCTGCCATTGCCCTTCTAATGTGGTAGCGGTCGCCTAAGAACAGGAGTAGCTGTTTGGTCCTTCAAGCCTGTTCCACGATTCAAAACTTTCATAGCTAAGCTGGTTAAGGTATCCTTTCCACTTTTGTATCTGCACCCATAATACCTGACTCACATTTGTATTAAAATCTATTTGACTCTGTGTTGAATTACTTTAAAGACTCAGTCTCCACTATCTTCTGGGGTAGAGAATTCCACATTCCAAAAACACTCCAACAGAAAAAAGAATTCTCCTCAGCTTTATCTTAGAAGGAAGCCCTGTTAATCTTAAACTCTGTCCCCTAATCTTAGTCTTCCCTCAACAAAAGGGAACATCCTATAGGTATCATCCCATCCAGTCCCCTGGAAGTGTTATATGTTTTAATAAGGTCACCTCTCATTCTTGTAAACTCCAATGGATATAGCTAGCGTTTCTTCATAAGAAAAGACCTTCATCCCATGAATGAGTTGAGTGAATTTTTACAGGACTGCTTCTAAACAATTATATCTTTTTTTTCAAGTAAGAAGGCCAAAACAGGGTACTCCAGATGTGGTCTCTCCAATATCCTGTATAGTTGCGTAAAACTTCCTAGTTTTATGTTCAAATCACCTTGTTAGAAACACCAATAATCCAGTTACCTTCCCAACCATTTGCTGTACCTGCACACTAACTTGCCGTGATTCATGCACTAGGACCCACAGATCTCTCAGTGCCACTGACTCCTGCAATCTCTATCTATTTAAAGAGTTATTGTTTTTCCAATCTCCTTACCAAATAGACAAGTTCACATTTAAACACATTGTCCTCCATCTGCAAAACTTTGCCTGCTCACTTAACCAATCTACACCCCTTTGCAAAAGCTCAACCTCATCTTGATACCTACTTTCCTACTTATCATGATGTCACCATCACATTTAACAACAATACATTTGGTTCCTTCATCAAAATCATTTGTATCCATTGTAAATAGTTGGG